TATATATATATATATATATATATATATATACACAGCTATTTCCATCACTGATTTCTTACTCCAGTGCATTTTGCATATTGTATTTAGTTGTATTTATGTGTATTTAAAATAATTAATGAGTTATGTATTCCTGTTGACATATAAAATCTTTTTGTAATTCTTGTTGTATGCGGGAAGTTCAACTTTTTGTGAAACACCAGCCTATTTTATCACCGCATATAAGTTCATATACTAACACAGACATAGTATCCGACTTCAAAGAAAATCTTACTCCTGAGCAGTACAAAATATTGGGTTTTACTTGTTTTGGAAGTTTCCTTGATATGAAGCCTTGTGAGGTCCAGCATCAATTGTTCAGGTGCTTCATGGTTCGTCAGTTAGAAGGAAGTCATGACGATGTATTTTCAATATACGTCAATGGTACAATATTATCCTTCTCAATCAGGGAGTTTACGCTTGCCACTGGTCTCAATTGTGTGGGTGACCCTGAAATTTTCGGTTCAACACAAAGGTGCCTAACCGGATTGTTGAGACATACTTTGGCGGCGTAAAGAATGTCAAAAAGAAAGATTTGTTGACATTCTTTGATGACAAGAATTGGGGTCATGATAACGATGGGGATGCCATCAAGATAGCCGTGTTGTATTTCATACACACTTTCATATTTTCATCCGATAAGAACATCACAACCATCCTAACACTACATTTTGACTTGGTCAAGAGTGGGAGATACTATGATTATCCATGGGGTATTGATGCATTCCAATACCTTATTAAATCTATTAGCAATAAAATGGATTCTCAGAAGAAGTACTATAAGATAGTTAGGATGCCTTTCGCAATGCAAGTATGGTTTTACGAGTGTTGTTTAAAGGTTGACCCCAAAATTGCAACGCGAGTTGATAACCAGATTTCCAGAATACTCAATTGGAGATTCACTGTCAATCAGCCAACTTATGCTTATCTGATGAACGGCATGTTCAATGACCAGGGAAACATGGTAATTTACTATTTGTTAAGTTTCCGATATTATTTTTTTAAGAATTAATATTCTGTTAGTCAATACAGTTGCATACAACATGAATACATTAGAATAAATATTGTTGAATACAGTTGCATACAACATGAATACATTAGAATACATTAGAATATAACATGAATATATTAGAATACATCTACATACAATATGCAAGTATGGTTTCATTTCCCTGTCTTCGATATTACCATGAATACATTAGAATACAAAAAATAGTATACAGATAAATATTTCATTCAATGAGCATAACTTTGTAACCATACAACAAACTTCGTTCACTTTGAGTGTATTTTGATTTTCAGATTGTTTACAATGACATCCAACCAAGCGATGTAGAGCTTACTGTTATTCAGATTCCTCCAGGAGGTGTTGAGGTAGAGAACAGTCCTACTCCTACTCATTCAGACAAGTATGTAGATGATTCGGATGACTTTAGTCCTATACTGTATCTTCAGCCTAAGAAGAAACATGATGCAAGTGTTGGTCCATCTTCATCACCGCCCTACAAAAAGCGCAAATAGCAGATTATAGATCCCTCAAATTCAGATACTCAATACAAGATTCCTCATGCTGGCATATCTGAAATCAATCAAACTGTATTGTATGATAAGAAGCCAGCAGATTCTAAAACAGATGAAGTATCTTCTTTGAGGAATGATCTAAATTCATTCAAAGAATATGTGAGTTTTGTATGCACATATTAAACATTATAATTTGAAAATTAACATTCATATATTTTTCCAACACCTCTCTAATTATTTGTGTATTGATTAGGTGATGGGCGAGTTCACGTCTCTAAGAACATTGATCAATGAAAACTTTAAGAAGTTTTCTGACCAAATTAAAGCCAATCAGCCTATGGAAATGGTATACCAGAGAAAGAAAAACACAGGGAGACGTGATGATGGTATTCAAATGTCATCTGTGTTTTTAGTATAGGTTTATATAAACATAATCAGACTATATGTTTCTGCTATTATTCAGATTAATAATCTATACAACATCATACACATTTATGAAATACAAATTTATACATGTTACTTCAGTTTTACATAAGTAGTCAGTATTATATAAATACATATTTAAAAACATCTTTTATTAATATTCAGTTTACTCATATATATTGTAACATACATCCTACACAATCAATCTTATATATGTCATTTCAGTTTCAAATTTGATTTAAAGGTTTTCAAAATGCATTTCTATAACGACCTTCACTATTTTTTTAAATTGAAACATGTATGCAGTTGTATTTATTTGTATTATAAATGCACTGTACTTATACATATTACTTTTGATCTTTGCATATTGTATGTAGATGTATTCATACGTATTCAAATAGTATTTATATGTATTTAAGCTTGGATTTTAAATACACTGTACTTATATCTCAAACATCCAAACATGTTTAGGGTTTAGATATATTCAAAACATGTGATATATTATGTATTTAGAAATTTTATAATACACTCATATACATATGTATTTAAAAACAGAATACAGATGTTAATCCTGTTTGTGGTGAAGTAAGAGTTGAGGGGAATACTACATCTGAGGTGCTGTGTAGCATACCACATGTATGCCACGAGGATGTATCCAAAGAAGTACATGTATCACAATTTAAGTTGTCGGACAAGTTTTTTCCAAGTCAAATTCCAGAAACTAGAATTATGATACATCATGCAGCAAAAAATGTTGATACAACCCCATTACCCTCTCATAGGAATTGGCGTCCAAGTAGATGGTATTTTTCGCCTTACGAGTCAAACTTCGACTCCGCCGATTAGTAAATTTTTAAACAAAAATAATGTATTACAGAGTTATGATCTATTTTCCCATGTATCTATAATTAAATATCTCTATTAATGACTTCAATTAACAATAGGTACCTCAGTAAAGTTGACTCCCATTTTTGATAAAAAATACCCCTTTGAAGACGATTTAATATCGGGGCCACATCCTACATTAGTCATTCAGGAATACGAGAAATGGGTTCGTGATGGTCTTCTCACTAAACATGATCAAAAGTAAGTTTTTTACCCGGTATGTCTAATATATATTTTTTAATTTAGAAAATGGATATAATATTTTTTCCAATTCGTTGTAGAAGTGATTTGGAAGACCATTACAAGAAGAACAAGTCAGCACTGCATATACTGTTGGATTTTGGAGTTGATCAAGTCACTTAAAAAAATGGGTTTTACCTTCTCTCGTTTGACGGTAAACTATGGAATGACAATGTAAGATATACTTCTTCCAAATTCAGTTTATTCCATTTTTTTCTGTTTGGTTTGTCTAATTGTATATTTCACAATTTGAGAACTCATACATATTTTGTATGCATTTTTATTTTATATTGTTTATATACTATGTAATTAGTTGAGTTGTATGAGTTATGTTTGTTCCTTGTTACTGATAATATACATCTGATTCTGGGATTAATCCAATGAGTTATGGGTATCTTGTGTATTTAGCTGTATTCAGATTTATAATTATTTCACAGTTTTCTCTAGCAATTTGTTAAAAGCATTATGTATTCTTTATTAGATTTTCAACTGTACGACTTGATATAGATCAGTGTGTTTCGTTATCAATATGTATATAGTTATCATAATGTATTTAAGTGTATTCAATATCAAATACATGTGTGTATTCGGCATTATGTATCTTAACATGTGATGCCAATTTATATTCAGTTTGTTTTCTGTTTGTTACCTGCTAGCCAATTATGTATCAGTATGTATCTAACAGAATTGTGTAAGTTCAATTTATTTTCAGCAGTTGATACTTCTATATTCAGTTCATATATTCAGTTTGTTTTTCTTGATTTCATTCAATGTACTGACGCTATGTATTCAATTTTATATATAGCATATTGATGTCATATTTTACTACTTGAGAAAGAAGGGCAAGTACAACCAAACAACCAACTTCAAGTATACAACTGTTGATTGTATATTCAAGACAAGAATCGTTGAAATCTTCGACATGTATGCTGATATAGATAGTAATGCAAGTGTAGCCAAAGAAGAGGATGTGATATGTGAGTACATAAGGGGCTACAGATTGCTAGCTAATGTACCGTGGCATACTGTTGACAATGTCTTGATACCAGTCAACTTGAAGGACAAACTTCATTGGATATTAGCAGTTATCTCATTCAAGGAGAGATGTATCAAAGTGTATGACTCATAAAGATCGGCAGGTCATGATGCCTATGTGGCTTCTGAGATAGACAAGCTAGCTAAGCTTGTACCTCTGTATCTATCGATCTGTGATTTTTACAGAGATAAGCAAGGCATAGATTGGTCTCATGACTCAGCATACAGTGACAAGGCACAAACTGATCCCTTTGATGTTATTTTCATTTCAAATCTGCCTCAACAAAAATCTGGGAGCATGTATGTATTCAATCCTCTTGCTTGTATAATTTATAAATCTAATAATATGAATTGTTTTTCATTGTTTCAATCTGTTTTTTCAGGGATTGTGGGTTGCATGTCGCGGCATACACAGAGTTTCTGAGCACTGTTGGTTTGGTTCCACAATCAATATTTGATGCCAATTTACTCCGTCAAAGATATGGTGCGCTCCTTTGGGACTATGCTATGCAGAAGATAGACGATGATGCCATAAGCAAGAACAAAGCACCCTCAAAGATTGTTAGACAAATCACGGATTCAGATACGTCAGTTAAGATAATGTTAGAGTAGTTTTAGGTGAATGTAGTTTTGGATGATAGTTTTGTGTGAATACTGTATTTTGGATAGTGTTTTGGTAAAGATGGTGTTTAGTTAAGAAAAAAAATCATATTTATATTTTATTCACTGTATCCACAATGTTTATATATAATCATTTCAATTATTCAGTCGATGTTTCAATGTTTTTGTGCATTAGAATTTATCTGTAATCAACAGGTTGTGTTTGTATGGATACAACAAGTTGCATTCATATGAATAAATCAGGGTGTATTCACCTGTATTCAACATATTGCATTCATATGAATTAAACAGATTGTATTCATTTATATTCAACAGGTTGTATTTATCTGTATTCAATAGGTTGTATTCATCTGTATTCAACAGGTTGTATTTATCTGTATTCAACAGGTTGCATTCATATGAATTGTACATGTTGTATTCATCTGTAATCAACAGATTGTATTCACATATATTCAACATGTTGTATTCATATGATATTGGCAGGTTGTATTCATATGTATTTAGCAGGTTGTATTTCAAGTCAGAAATAATGTTTAGATGTATTTCACATTCAGAAACCATATACAATCTCACATCCAAACATGTTTTATATCTAGATGTATTTAAATATATTCAAAAACATGAATGATTTATGATGAATGACATATGAAACCTATTTACAATACACTCATATTCTGATATTTTGTATTGATATGTAATAGTCGTATTGTAATTATGTATTCAGATTTAATACACCAACTAACTATATCCAGAATATATTCACGTAAAAATTCAAAATGTATTATTTCAAAATATAACCTGAATCTATGACACATCGTTATAGCACTAATACAAGTCAAAATGTGAACTAAGTCCTACGTGGAGCATTTCTACAAGTACGCTTATTATGACCTTCCTGCCCACATATGATACATGAATGTTGATTTTTTTTTTTTTGTAGCAATTCACTGATGGCTTATCGCGCTTCTTCTTTGGTATTCCAGGAGGTCTTTTCCATTTGGGTGGTAAGACAACTTTCTCTGATATATGTGCTGGTATATTCCATTCATTTCGGTCCGGCAGCGGATACGCGGGCACCTCATATGTCATTACAACAGACTTTAGTTTGTAATAGTCAGAGCAATAATCTTCTGGCATTATAAACTTGCTCTTCAAGACAGCCCAAGCGTGTTGGCATGGTAATTCATCAACTTGGAACCGCCCACAACTGCATTTTCTCTCTAAGAGGCACACGGTATAATGCCTTCCTTCATCGTTCGCCGTATGCAAGTATTCAGTCGATGGCACCACCTACATTTAAACATAGACCAATTAGTTTAAAATATTTTTTTTAAAAATCATTTATATTATCAAAGAATAGACGTATTAATTACAATATAGATATATAATTAAAATATAATTAAAATATACAGCATTAAACTTTTATTTAGCTTTCAGAATCATCATATATATTGAATTCAAACAAATTTGTATTGAATACAAACATATATGTATATATAAAATACAAAGAAATACAGCTATATACAATGAAATACATTGAATACAATGGAATACATTCTATATGTAGGCTGGCAGAATATTAAAGATGATTACATCTTGACTGGTAAATACAGTGATATACAGTAACTATCTGCTTATGAAGTGCATATGGTTAGAAACAAAACCATTAAATTCAACTAACGATACAATTAGCATAAGTTCTGTATTTTGAATAGTAGAAATTGTATCAGAAATAAATACAATTTGTACCATGGATAAATATAGGATACAATGACTTATAAAAAAATAACTTACAGTAATGCGTGTAGACATTGCCTCATTCAAGGTAATCATATCCTGGTATTTTTTTCCAAGCGTTGTGTATGTTTGTGAAGCTTCTTTCCGATTGCTGCAATTCCAACGTCCAAACTTCTTCCTAACTTCTTCGACGAAGTCGTATATTGTCAATTCCCTTGCTGACACAAGTGCGGCATTGGTTGACTCAGTAATATTTGACGTCATGGTCCATCCCCTGTTAACAGGTGCATACAATCTAGCCCACTTTTCGTATCCAGTTAACTCCAAGTATTCTTTCACCCTAATATCTACCTTCTCCACCTTCTCCATTAGACTGTCAAATTCATCCTGTGTGTATGCTTTTGCCATCGAGAAGTATATCTCGCTCAACTTTGAATGACTCTTTTTGAATTTCTTATATACGTTGTTCCATAGATGCCATATACAAGCAAAATGTGGTACCACTAGATACACTCTTGATACAGATTTGATGATACTCTCATTCCTATCTGAAACGATGCACATGTTTTTCCTCTCACCATATGCTTCCTTGAATTTCTAAGAACCACGACCAAGCAGCATCGTTCTCTGAATCAATAACACCATATGCTAGTGGCAGTATATGACCTGTGAAAACAATTGCATACATATTATAAATATGTATTTCAATCTTTAATAGGCAGTAATATTATCAAATTTTATTATAATCCCCATACTCACTTGCACCATCCAACGTGCTGGCCGAGACAAATGTCCAAGTGTAATACGATTTTAAGTGGCTTCCATCCACAACCACAATGGGTCTACAATGATCGAACCCCTTTATATAAGCATACAAAGATATATACATATACATGAACTCATTTTTTGGCGATTTTACCATTCTAATGTGCGAACCAGGATATGTCATATCTATTGTATATAAGTATCCTGATAATTTATTGTATGAATCAGCCGGTTCACCTCTCAAAAAATTCATTGCCTTTTCTTTAGCCCGCCACGCCAACATGTAACTAACATCTACACCAAAATCTGATTTCACATCATCAATTATATCCTTTGGGGTATATTTCCTCTTATGATTAGTAAGCTTGGACCTAATCATACTACCGATAAGACTGCTACTTGCTTGACGTTGCTCATACACCTTATCCTTTAACGGACATGTATGCTTATCATTGAACTCTCTCACTTTGAATATTTGTGATTTGTTAATGCTAGATGCCTTAAACCTCCATTTACAATCCTGTGACATACATAATAATGTATAGTTGCAAATAGAATTTTCGCAATATATACGATGAGTATAAATGATCAACAATTCACTAATATAATGCGAATACATTGTTACATATATCTACATTATTATAAAATACAAATATATACATGTGAATAAGACTGTAATTATATGTATACATTTAAATATCTATAAATACATCTAAAAACAAACAGCGAAAGCCACTGTAATATCTATTTTACCAGTAAAATACAGATAAATACATTTGTATGAAATACGTAGGAACTCCGGTGAGTTATATAAATACACCCAAATAAATCTAAATACATCTAAATATAATTTAAATATTCTGCCATGGAAACAATATACAATTTCACACTCACTTTACACAATAATATATTTGAATATAACTTGATGTTTAACAAGTTGTAGTTAATAATGCTCATACCTGATAGGATTAGACCTATCAATCCGGAATTAAAATCTTTTAGATATTGCATAATGCTCCATCACCTGTTTCAATGTAGCTTTATCCTTATATACTTGTCCAGCCATAACCTCTCTTTGATTAGTTTTTGAAATAATCAAATCCGTGTCCAATTCGAACACCTCAATTGGTTCTCCTGAGTTGAAAGACTGTATAGCAAGTATATAATCTGTATCAAAATTACACCTTTGATTTGCTTCGTCAAATTGCACAATGTCGCCTTCAATTAAACTGCCTCCAGCTACAACTTCTTTGTCAATTGTAGTTATGCACAAAGGATACATCCCGAATTCTCTGTTCGCCTTTTTCAACTCTACATATACCCTGTAACCCATGTCGTTATGCATTTCCATTGGCGTACAATTTTCATCTACTTTATATTCAATTTTGATTGACTTTGAGCGCAAATCTATGTCGAGTTGTTTAGAAATCGAAACAACCAAATCATTATACGACGCATACTCCTTTATTAGTATTCCCTCAATCGAATAATCGACATAGTTCCTCTCACTGTCCTACTTGCCAGAATGACGCAGCAGGACAGTTAAACTTGCCATATGTAAAATTGAATTATACCGATTTATGTATATAATTGTATGAATTTTCTGTTTTATTGCTTGAAAACAGAAACATCCACGAAACAAAATCAACAGAAGTGGAAGAAATAGACGATCGGCCACTGCTCTGTTTTGATGTATCTATCGTTTTAGAAAAAAAATCAGATTATTGGCATCAAAAACAGATTATGGGTGGTGTAATTGAGTTAGTTGAGTTATATTAGAAGTCTATAATGTTAATTGATTCACTTTCCGTTTAAAAAAAGCTGAATAGACCATGAATTGCGCTATTTACGTTACTGTATTCAGTCGAATACAATAATCTGTATAGCTGTAGTCTCATGTTTCACGCCGACATTTGCTACTGTATTCATGAATACAGTAGCTTAAATACATCGAATACACTCTTAAAAAACTAAAAACATAGCTATAGAAAGTAATATATTAAATGGTAGCTACAACTAGCTAATAACCACTAAACAATAGTGGTTTGTGAAAATTTCTCTATATATTAGTCTACTATGGGCCTTTATGTGTAGTAAGCCCAAATGAAGAAACCCAACCTAAATTGAGGTTAGGTTTGTACGTGCGAATGTAAAGACTATAAGGGCCATGATCAATGTAGTATTTACAATGGAGCATGCTATGGGTTTTGGAGATAAGTATAATATCGTAAATTATATTGTTATGAAATAAAATCTGAAGGGAGATCTCTATAATTATCCAATAAATGTATAACTATAGCTAGGTAACAGAAAAGAGACTTTATTGTTTGTGCACGTGTCCCCAATACAAGGAAAAAAATGACGTGTTCCCTATAGATATACAATTAAATTTTTCTATAGAAGCCTTGTTTGTCTCAAATATTTTTTGAATGCTATAATGAAATATTGTTACAAAGAACATATATTATGGCATAACATGTAAAAAATAAAAGTGCAAGTGAAAAAAGATATATAATAATAATAATAATAATAATAATAATAATAATAATAATAATAATAATAATAATAATAAAAATAAAAGAAGTTCTTTGTGAAGTTTAAACCTTATTCTCAACTAATAGATATCACCTATATAGATTTTTCTCTTCTATTATACATTATTTTTGTTGGGATTTTAAGCTTGTGTAGCTTAAAGAAGGTGAATGAGAAATGGAGGAAAAATAAAATATTTGAGTTTTCCTTGGTAAATGGACATTGTCCCATATCGGAGGAAGAAAAGGCTTTTGATGGGTATATATATAATTGCTCTTCTTCTAGCTCTTAAAGAGTTAAGAAAAAGGCAAGCCTCGCGCCGTCGTCATTGCTCGCTCGGCTTCGGCTTCGGTCAAAGATCGATTGATTGCGTTTTCATTGGATATGCTACAAACAGTAAAGCATGTCGGTTTTTAGTTCATAAATCCGATAATCCCGAAATTCACGTTAATACGGTAATAGAATCAGATAATGCTGAATTCTTTGAAAGTATCTATCCGTATAAAACTGAATGTGAGTGGTTAAGTGAAAGAANGAGTTAAGAAAAAGGCAAGCCTCGCGCCGTCGTCGTCGCTCGCTCGGCTCGGCTTCGGCTTCGGATATGGATTTTGTCAAAGATCGATTGATTGATTAATCTTTTTGGACAAAATTCCTTTTAATTATTTATTTAATTAATTAAATAATTAACGAAAAATTTAATCAGGAATAACCCATGACTCGCGACCCGGTTCAGTCAGGCCCGTTTTCTTTTTCGAATTATTTTAAATACATTTTTCCCGCAATACTTCAAACAACCCTTTTCCAACAGCCATGGCTGTTTCTGAAAGGTTGCAAACCTTTTCAGAAACAATGCCAGCAAACTCTATAAATAGAGTTTGAATCCTAGTATCTTTCCTTACGAAATTTTCTGAGCTTCTTCTTCTTCTTCTTCTTCTTCTTCTTCTTCTTCTGCACAATAAATTCCAGTGTGTTTTACAGCCTTCGAGTGGCTCGCTGTTCACCGGCATTTTGGTACCAACACTCCGGTGAGTTAAATCGTTCTATCCTGGGAGGATATATTCCAGCACCTCGGGTACTTGAGGGGAATAATTTCTTTAAGGACACACTGTGTATTCAGTGGGCTCGATTTATCCTATACTGTTTTTTATTTTTCAGAATCTATTTCGTTAAACAAGTATTACTAACTTTCTGTTTTGTTTTTTCAGAAAGTTTAATTGTTTATTACAGCAATACAAAATTATAACAATCTTTAGCTAAGTTTGTATTATTTTTTCGGATTTGTAGGTCTTTCGGGACAACTTCCTTCCATGTAACTTTAAGTTTATCCCGTTTTAATACCTTTCCTCACTATGATTTCACATCTACGAACCAATACATCTGTAGCTTGACTCAGAACACGATCTAACCATCTCAGTCAATTTTATTTCATTTTATCCTCAGTATGTGCTACTTGCGCCTTCCGGAGATTATGACAATTTTTAGTCTTATCATGTGGATGTGTTGAACTTTAACAGTTCAACATTCACTACCATATAGCATAGCCGGTCTTATAATTATTCTATAGAACTTACCTTTCACTTTGGTAGGCATTCTTTTATCACATAACATCCCAGTAACACTTCTCTATTTCAACTATCCTATTTTAATCCTATAATTAACATCTTCATCCATCATTTCATTCTCTTGAACATATCTAATTTTTTTTGTATTTTAAAACCATATTTCCATCAATCTCACCTCAACTTAAATTGTAATACATGTACTCAGTCTTACTTCTACTCATCTTAAAACCTTTACTCAAAACCTTTACTCACTATGGTGTTTCTCCTTTAGCTCAAATTTCAAAAGTGACTTTAATTTATCAACTTATTTTTTTTACTCTATCTACTTGTCAGGTCTGGACTCTATGCTTTTTCTATCAGGGTGGGACAAAAGAAGAACGCTTCGAGTTTAAATATAAATTATCATTTCTTGAAATTGGAAACAATTAATTAAGCAAATAAGCCGGAAAAGCTCAAATAATAGAGACTATCCACTAAAGTTGAAAGAGACCTCAAGGATTCATACGAAGAAAACAACTTGCAACTCCATTTTTGATAACTTAAATTAAA